CAACTTTGCAAGTACAGATGAGGAATGCCCCTGTCTGTGGGATTTCTGAAAGAATCTGTGTTGAATAGAAGACCGGAATATTCATCCCACAATATGATATAAGGTGGCCTGCCCCAATGTCTTGAGTCACGAAATAAACTACTCTTGATTAAAGCTTTCTTGGAGAGATTTGTCGAATCTTGACGTAACTGCCCCAGGTTGAATGAATTCTGAATATATTTCTCGATGTGATAGCCTCTGATCAATGGCATCTTGAAGAGATTTATCGACGTGATAGCCTCTGATTAATATTAGATGAAGAAATTTATCAACGTGATAGGCTCTGATTGATAGCTTTGAGAAAATTCCCCAGATTTGGCTGAGTGCAGAGAGATCGACTCTCGACTTGATTGCCCCAGGTTGGAAGAATATGCCAATTTCATCCCTAAAGGGTACTCAGACTGTGAAGCACCAAGATGCTTTCTCTGGACAGAATTACTGGTTAACATGCCCCTGGATAAGTCATTTCTCTTGTGGAAGTTGACTCTTGCTTCAACAAGTTATTCAAGCCTCTCTTCTCTGACAAGATTGAGCTCTTTACCGATTGTTCATTGTGTAAACTTACTTGATGTCAATCAGTTGTTTTGTATGCAAAATAATGTTTATTATGAGAATGATAATTCTAATGCAACACGTACATAAGTCTTGAAGTTTGAAAAACTTTGAATGGAATGATGTCACAACTCTGTTGTGAACGAGTCACTAGTTAGAGAGCAACATTTGCAAATTCTTTTTTATGAAAGATAATACAAGCATATGACGCCAACACAGATATTCAAACATACCTCTTAGGAGTCAGTTAAACGCTATCTCGTTGTAGCATGCTTTCAAATTGACCCATGCTTCAGTTAGGACTTTTATGGGTTGTAATGTGGCCTGGTTCATGGTTTAAGAAAAAAGGATTTAAGGCTCAAAATTATTTAGTGCCCACCCATTATCCATGATGTTCTCCATTCCTACATTCAGTTGACCCGATACAAGCATTCATCTCTTGTGAAGAGTTTGCGATGGTTAAGGAATCACTTTGGTTTCTTGGACACAACAGTCACTTCACCTTTTGCTTTTGGTGTCTGATCACACGATTTTGTTCTTCCGATGAGGATTTTTATTGGTAATCCTTTTCTTGCTTTCCCTAGCTTTTTCCTGGACAAATTCTTTTGAATTTCGATTTGGAAGTCCAGCGGGATGCCCTACCTTTTTCCTAAGCGACTTGTTTTCAAGTTTCGACTTAGCGGGGCTTTTTGTTTCTTTCTTATTCATAATTTCCATTTTGAACAAGTTGTTGATCTTTGCGTCGTCTTCGATTTGTTGGAAGTGACCGTGACTGTCTGATTATTTGGTAGATGAGGGATAGCCATTGTTGTATCGTCATTTGTTGACCTCCTGATGTGTAAGGGATACCCATTGTGATATCGTTAGTTGATGCACGTTGCTGATAGATGAGGGTTAACCATTGTGGTTTTGACTTTCCTAAACCTTTTGATGGATAACCATTATTTTATCCTTGGATGCACACTCTTGATGAGTTTTGAATGCCTGATCAGATTAACTGAACATTACCCGCCCCAGGGTTAAAATTAGGGTTTTTCTAAACAGAAAAGAAACTCCTACTCCGAAGGCTCAGAGGGGTTAACGAGGGTCTATCTCCCTTATATCTCCGGTGTTTAGGAATAGAAACAAGGCTTGTACATCGTTAGTAGGGTCTTATTCAAAAGCATACCAACCAGATATTTTTTGCGTTTTTATATCATCGTCATCCTCCCTCAAATCTTTACCTAAGCATAAGACTTGGAATCTTGGCATCAATATGCAAGTAAAACATTTAAAGAGTGGTAACTAATGGATGAATAAAAAAGAAAGGAACACTTCAAGACAAGCATACTTATTGCATTAAGATTTTCATTTAGAAATAGACAAGTTTCTACATGCAAGCAATGTTTAAACAAACAAACAAGAATGCAAATGAAAGTGCAGTAAAGAAACCAATGATTGCCATCACCAAGGATACTTGACTCCGTATGGGTTTCTTGATTCTGACGACTTCTACAACCTTGATGCTTAAATGGGCGAGATGATTCCCCTTCTAATCTGATATGAACACAATAGTCTTTGAATTGAGCTCGTCTTAGACCTCGTCTCTGGATGACATACCATCTTCAATTGAATGGCTGGGTGCCCCAGAATAATATGCATAGAATATCCTTTCAGGAGAACAAATGAATGATTTACCAGGAATATCAGTATAAACCGCATCATCGAGCATATTGCGCCATAAAGAAACAATATATTTCATCTTCTATCAGAACAACAGAAACATCCACTTGGTAAGAAATAGTCTGACAGTTGGAAAAATAGGAATTAGACTTTTGGAAGAGACGCCAGACAGGTGATGGGCTTTATACTTCAACCCCTTTACAGTTTTCAATATCAAAATCGGGTGCCTCGGAATAGGGGATACATCTACTATGTGTATCGCAATCAGAAGAGATGTTTGTGGGAAGAGGATCCCAAAGATCAGATCTTTACCAATTGAACTTCCACCATGCAAGGGAATAAATCGATGTAATGAATTGGGATCAGATGATATTCTCATCAGGCTTCTTCTGTCTTTGCTTAGAAGATTTTAGGGGACAAAGACTTGTTGTTATCAAACAGATTAGGGAACACGGAGTTATGGAGAGTGCCCCTGATTGAATAGTCGGATGCCCCAGCGCGGTAACCACATCTGACGTTGGTATCATGATCTGGAAGGTAATTTATAGACGGTACCGAAGTATGGGGTATAACCCACTGAAGCTCAAACAAGTGTGGAAACCAATGAGAATGAAGCACTGATATAAGATCAACTCTTCTTCAGGCATATTCTACTCTCGTTGGTAAACCAAATTTCTCGAATTCACACGATAAATGGGAACCATCTATTGATAAGATGTTCCAAGAATTCAAGATCATGTAGCACTCCATGGTCGAAAGAAATTCCCAAAAGATGAGGAGAAGATAGAACCTCTACTGTGACAGTAAGTGTGAGATTGTTGACATCATTATCAGATCTTTCATAACCTGGCTCACCTGAGCCTGTGATCAATTATATTATTTCTCAAAGAATTCCTGACCACGGGCCAAAGCTCGTATGTATACCATAATCAATCCCATCAAGATCTTCATCGGTCAATCCCCACGGAGTCATCCCATACTGATCTTTGAACATGTGAAGCAAGAAATTAAGTCTGAACCTCTGGATAGAGCACCGGGTCTGAATAAGAATCCACAATCTTCGAATACCTGTTATGGATGCATGAATGTGCTGAATTACATGCTTTGGTTTTTAATTTACGCAAGTCAAAGATGGAATATTTTAGCACAAGACTTACAAATATGATTATCTGGAAATAACCGAACATGTATGTTAAGCATGTGGTTAACCATGTTATGTATGCAAAGGCATGGGATCAATTATGTTCAAAGCTCCATCATTTCTGAATATGATTGTTACATTATTCTGAATCATATGAATATCACCAGATCAAAGGTCGTACATAGCTTATGCATACATAAGAACCAAGTACCATGTAGATCTTCCATTGTACGAGATCAAAGTTTCTGGAACACCGGATACTGTTGAACTTTTTCTGAACGTGCTGGGAATACAAAGATCGAAGGCCCGAATGAACCTCCAAGTAAACAAGTCAGGAACTCATAAAATAAATCCGAGCACTCCATAGTCACCAACAGAAATCCAGAGCATAACCATTAGAATTAATAGTCACCGTCTCATCATAGTCACCATCTGAACCTGTGATAATAATTCCCATCCCACTCACGGGTGAAGACTAGGTCAAGGTAAGGTTAGGTAACTCAAAATTGAGGGTACTTCCGAAAAACTATCGCTGTATCACCTACGTGAAAATGTCCAAAGCGACTGAACACCTAACCAAGATATAGGAGATCGAGGTAATCGATAGAAAATGATATGAACGATCACGGAGTATTAGCATCGGCCAATGCGAACTCCTGACAAAGTGTGGGGGTTCTATTGTAAAACCCTTCCCCACTAGACGACTCTATATACAAGAGCATGCACAACTCCAAAGCTTCGTGGTGCATCACGAGCTAAGGATGACACGAATGAAAATGCGGGGGTTGATTGTTAATCCTCCATGCTCGCATCCTTTTGAGGACTTCAATAAAGGGTGGGGATTAGTGTGGGCACAAATATAAACACACCTACAAAATACCTACTCAAAGGTAGGGTTTTAAACATACCACACATAAGTAGCAAACAGAGTGCACACAATATGGAATTGCCCTAAACGGGTCTTTAAATAAACCAGAGGGGTTCCTGGCATGATCAGCAATAGAGACACGCGTCATACATCTTTATCCTACTTCTCGTGGCATCAGAAAGCAATAAAGCCCTACTTCTCATGATATCTAGAAAAGCGGTAAAGAAGTGTGATAAAGTGCGGAAAATAAGAATAAAATAAAGTTGCGATGATAGCGAATAGAGAAAGTCCGTTGCCTCTACAAAACCACGCAAGCGATAAGAAAACTCTACATAAAGCTTCCTTGAATTTACTTGATGAACAATTAATCTCTTAGATTGCTTCAAAATCAAGTCTCTTTATTTTCTAATATCACAACAAAAATCTATCACCACATTTAACTAAAAATGGAATTGAAACAAAAAATAGAAAATGAAGCTTTAGGAGAGTGTAAACTGGACCAGGGGTTTAATATAGCAACAATGGAACTAAGCCCAACAACCAAATCCATAAGTTTTTTTTGTTTGTGCATCGGGTTTCACCAAAAAATCTGGTGAATTGGGCTTAAGGGAGGCAGATTTTGGTCTAGCTAAACCCATAGTTCTTTATTCAACACTCTGCATTAGTCAATCCAAATAAAAAAAATTAAATGACTAATAATAATAAAATATAAAGACTAGAAGGGAGTAAGATGGTGACGTTGGCTGATCGTTGGGGTTCTCAAAATTATGCCTCTTGAACTTCCATGACATGAGAAAACATAAGCTCTTCTCTCTCTTTGGTGAACGACGCCACTGGTGAGTGCTTCTCTACGACGATGATCCAACTTCAAATCAAAATAACCATTGAAATCGTCTCTTCCTCCTCTTTCTAAAATTTTCATCAATCTTTAACGATTGTATCCCTAACCTTCAAATCTTAGCGTAAGCGAGAAAACCCTAGGGATTATGAAATCATATTTTGCAGGATACCAAGGAGATGGAAGATTTGTAGGATCCTAAAGCTTACCAGCACCCGTCAGAGTATGAGCCGAGGAAGATGACGATAAGCGAAATTCTTTGATTTAAGGTATGTACTTTCGATTACTCCAGATATGTGATTACGTCTGTCATTCTTCTTCTTTTCTTCTTTCTGTTTTCCGTGTGTTTTCTTCTTCTCTCTTCTTCGACTCTTCTTTTACACTTTTCCTATTTCTCTGTTATGTTGTTGTTGCGTGAATTATGTGTCTCTGCTAAGCTATGTGGTAGCGTTGTAGTAGAGGAATGACGAGATTAATGGTGTAGTTGCAGAGGGGTGATAAAGATGAATGAGTTCAGAGGACTGGAGAGCGAAGAAGGTGATGATTGTGAAGAATTATTGAAGATTGAGAATATGAATATTGAATGATTCTGAGAAAAAGGTTAAAGAAAGTAGTGAATTGAAACGGGTGAAGAAAACGTTGGAGGAATTGCATAATAAAGAGGACGATGGAGGATGAGGAGTGAAGGTTTTTATTTTTGAAGAAGATCAACTCATTCGAAAATTGAAGAGAGATTTTCAGATTTTTTGGGTGAGTTGTAACTATTTATTTTCTGTTGGATCTTTTTTGTTAGAGCTGGAATTTCTATTTTGACAACCGGGGGTGGTTCTGAAAGTTAGTTGCAGTTTTTTCTAATGCAGTTAGGTTTTCTGTTTGCAGTTAGGGAGTTGAGTTATGAAACTGGTTAGGAGTTAGGGTGAGTTATTTGATAGTTAGTTGGTTAGGGAAGTTGATTATAGGTTAGAAAAACAGTTATAGCAGTTGTGATGAGCTATTAGTTATAGTGGTCAAAAAACAGTTATGAGGTTGTTCAAATCTGTTTTTGTTTTTCTGCTGGAAGTTGGATTAGGAATTAGTTACAGTTATGAGATGGTCTGAGCTATTAGAAGATTGGTTGTAATCTTATTTTTCCGGTTATTCTGAGCTGGATTTCTGGTTTTACTTATGAACTGGTTTTGGGAATTTTCGCAGGGACTTGTTACAGCAGGGCTATAAGGAGGCTATCTCACGGTTTCTTGTGTGAGCAGGGCTGAAGGAAGTGTGCAAGAATAGTTTAGATTGAAGCAAGGACTAGTGTGTACTCTTGCATTCCCTTCACACTCGTACCATAAAGAGAAGAGGAGTTCTTATGTGTTGTATATCGTTGCTGTCTAGGTGGTTTATGTAAGAACAATATTAGTTCTGACCTATCTCAGAGTTTTGATGATATCAATAAATTATATTTTAGATAATTTATACTTTGATGAATGTATTTGAATGTTTCAGATAATGTTCAGACATAAGCATTCTGATGTGCAAAGCTAAAAATTATATGAAGAAGTTCTTTAATGAAAGAACCTTTTTGTTTTAAGCGCATCTGCTGACTCTGGTAAGACAATTTTGTTTATATATATCTTCTAAAATTTAGCAGGATTCCTTGCTTAGAAGATCACTTGAAAGCAAGTGGTGTTCAGAAGTTATTTAAAAGCAAGCGCTGATCAAGTTCATAGAAAGCAAAGCACTGCCTAGAAGATAAGTAAAGCATGTTCTGAATACAAGACATTGAAGCAAGTTCTGAATGAACGTTAAAGCCAACTTCTCTTGTCAAGCAAAGGAAACATGTTCTTACAAGTTGTCGTTTGCTCATTAATGCAAAGACGGCTGCAAGCACTCAAGTGTCTAAGCTAGTTTCTTGGAAAATGGAATAGTGCAAAGAAACACACAAGCATTTAATGCTCTCCACTTTTCTGAAGGCAGCAACGGTCATTTTGTTCTTACTATATATAGAATGACATTTATTGTAAGCCAACCAACTAATCATATTTCAAAAAAAGAAGCAAGAAACTACGTGAAAAATTCTGGGCTCACATACTCTTTGTTCACACATTTTGTGCAATTAATTCTAAGTGAAAAAATCACAGTTGTGATATAGCTTGATTAGAAGCAAATTTTATTTCACTATCTGTATGGTTAAACTCTTGTAATTGTTCCTTGAGAGACCAAGTTTGGTCAGATTTTGCATCTGATATTGAGAAACATGAAGCAGAAAACTCTGAACTCTTAGAAAATAATTTTAAACTTAAAGAAAAAATTCAAAATGTTCAAAAAATTTCTAGTTCAGAATCCGTCTCTAGTTCAAAAGATATTCTGAAATAATATGACTATAGTTTTCAAACTTTCTTAGCTAAAAGCATATATAGAAGCAAAATGGCTTCAATGATCTATAGAGTTAGTGGGAAAAACAGAAGAGGAATTGGATATGAACCTCCCAAAGGGAAGGAGACATACATACCAAAACCTGTTGCTAAAATGACTTTCACTTACAAACCTCTGAATAAACAATTCAAGTTTGGACACTCACATGATATAAAATATACATCACATTCTGGAAACTCTTATGCTAACCCAAAAGGACCCAAAAAGATATGGGTGCCTAAGGATAAAATAATATTTGTTGCAGATGTCCTTAACAGCTCAATTGAGACACCAGTCATGGTACCTGGACTCTGGGTGCTCACGACACATGACGAGAAAAAGGTCTATGTTCCAAAGCCTGGAACTTAAAGCTGGAGGAGACGTGAAGTTTGGAGGTAATCAGAAAGGGAAGATTATTGGTTCCGGAACCATTGGACACGTTAACCTTCCTTCTATCTCTAATGTTTTAATAGTAGAAAGATTAGCTCATAATCTATTGTCCATAAGTCAATTAAGTGACAATGGTTATGACATTATCTTCAGTCAAAACTCCTGTAGAGCTGTAAGTTAAAAGGATGGATCAATCCTCTTTTCTGGCAAGAGAAAGAACAACATTTACAAAATTGATTTATCAGATCTTAAATCTCAGAACGTTAAATTCCTTTTGTCTGTTAGCAATGAGCAATGGGTATGGCACGAAAGATTGGGACATGTCAGTCTTAGAAAAAATCTCTCAACTAAATAAATTAAATTTAGTAAGAGGACTTCCCAATCTGAAGTTCAACTCAGAAGCTCAGTGCGAAGCATGTCAAAAAGGAAAAATTTCAAAACCTTCCTTTAAATCCAAAAATGTTGTCTCTTCCTCTAAGCCATTAGATTTACTTCATATTGATATGTTTGGGCCAGTTAAAACTGCATCCATCAGAGGCAAGAAGTATGGATTAGTCATTGTTGATGACTTCAGCAGATGGACATGGGTAAAGTTTTTAAAACACAAGGATGAGTCACATTCTGTGGTCATTGACTTCTGTACTCAAGTGCAAAAGGAAAAAGATTTTAAAATCATAAAAGTTAGAAGTGATCATGGTGGTGAATTTGAAAATCATTATTTTGAAAAATATTTTAAAGAAAATGGTATTTTTCACAATTTTTCTTGTCCTAGAACTCCTCAACAAAATGGAGTTGTAGAAAGAAAGAATATAACTTTACAAGAGATGGCCAGAACCATGATCAATGAAACTAATATGGCTAAGCATTTTTGGGCAGAAGCTGTGAACACAGCGTGTTACATTCAGAATAGAATGTCTATAAGACCTATTCTTAAAAAGACTCCCTATGAATTATGGAAAAACAGAAAGCCCAACATTTCATATTTCCATCCTTTTGGATGTACTTGTTTTATTCTGAACACTAAAGAAACTCTGAACAAGTTTGATTCTAAAGCACAAAAGTGTTTTCCGCTTGGATATTCTGAACACTCAAAAGGCTATAGAGTATACAACATAGAAACTCTGATTGTTGAAGAATCAATCAAAGTCAGGTTTGATGATAAGCTTGGCCAGCAACAGCCAAAGCAAATTGATTTTTCTGTGGGTACAGAAGATCATCCCTCAAACTCTGAATCTTCAGAAGTAAAGAAAGACTCAGAAGCAAAGGAAGACTCAGAAGATCATCCTCTTGACAATGCTCTAGACAACCTCAGAATCTCTGATCAACACACTCAGAAAAGGTTTCCTAGAATCTCTTCAGCTCACAAAGAAGACGTAATCATTGGAAGAAAAGAAGATCCCATCAGAACAAGATCCTCTCTCAGAATCAATGAAGAATCATTGTTTGGTTTGGTTTCTCTGATTGAGCCAACTTCCATTGATGAAGCTCTGGAATATAATGATTGGATCTTAGCAATGCAAGAATAACTCAACCAAATCTCTAGAAATGATGTATGGAATCTAGTTCCAAGACCCAAAGGATTCAACGTTATAGGAACCAAATGGGTTTTCAGAAACAAACTGAACGAGCAAGGAGAGGTGATCAGAAACAAAGCACGACTGGTTGCACAAGGTTATAGTCAACAGGAAGGAATTGATTATAGTGAAACCATTTCCCCAGTTGCCAGGTTAGAGTCTATAAGATTATTAATTTCTTTTGTTGTACAAAATAACATTTCATTATATCAAATGGATGTTAAAAGTGCATTTTTAAATGGTATATTGAAGAAGAAGTTTATGTCCATCAAACTCCTGGTTTTAATGATTCAAAACATCCAGAACATGTTTTTAAATTAAAAAAGTCTTTGTACGGTTTAAAACAAGCTCCCGGAGCTTGGTATGATCGTTTGAGTAATTTTCTTTTAGAAAAACATTTTACCAGAGGGAAAGTGGACATAACTCTTTTCAGAAAGACTTTTAAAAATGATATTTTAATTTGTAAAATTTATGTTGATGATATAATTTTTGGAACCTCTAATATCTCCCTTGGAAAAGAATTTGCTGAGACCATGCAGGCAGAATTTGAAATGAGCATGATGGGAGAATTAAAGTTCTTTCTGGGAATTCAAATCAACCAGACTCCAGAAGGTACTTACATACATCAGACGAAGTATGTTAAAGAACTTCTGAAGAAAATTCAAATGTCAGAGAGCAAAGATGCCAAGACACATATGCATCCAACCTGCATTCTGGGAAAAGATG